TATATATATATATATATATATATATATATATATATATATATATATAATTTCCATATAAACAGCGATGGTTAAGTGGCCCTGCAGTGTTTTGTGTTACCACGGCAGTACCTGAGTTTGTCAGCGATGAAGATGACCCGCCTCTCGAGCAGAAGGGAGGCAAACACCTGCAGGAGGTTCCCGACACTGAGACACTGCAGCAGACTGTCAAAGTCCACGTGCTCCAGCCTGGAGTCCACTGGTCGACACAAAGTCAGTACCTGGCAGAGCAACGAGAGCACAGGGAGCCAGGCTGAGTGTTATTACAGTGGTATAACTTGTAGTTGTCAAGACTAGCTGTTCCACACTGACTGTACCTGCACTACGGTCAGCTCGAGCTAAAATGATCATTTATTTTCTATAAAAGTTATCAACCGCAGCTTGAAACTGTAACACAATGTTGTTAAAACAACACTAACAATAGCGTATGTTCATCATAGAGGACAATAATCTGCAGTCCAAAAAAATGCATTTTCATTTAAATTGTTTACATGTTGATTTGGCAACATGTTGAGAATTTTGAGTTTTACAACCTGCATGAAAAGACGACCAAAACAGTTAACTTTTTTTATGTGTACTGCTCGGATCTTTAAGTTGTCTGAACTGACATTTTAAAGTCATGATTTTGAGTTAACGCCAAGTTTACTGCTTTGACACGAGTTGTTAAACACAGTTCTTTTCAGCTTTAAACGGGTCATTTACTTCACTGGAAAATGTTTAAGCTTTACTGACTTTTTAAATGAAGTCAACCTTCTACAATTTACAGTGACTGTTAAAGCAAAAACAGACTCTTCAGATGGATTCAGGTGGAAGATGCAGTTTTGAACCACAGAAGTGGAAACTTAAGTAAGCATCCTCAGAGCCTCCTGACTGCTGAGAGAGAAGAAAGTAGTGATTCTGCAGCATTTGGTCTGAGTTTTGGGAGGAGTCATTACCTACTTATTTTGAGTCAGCAAACAGTAATGACTAAATTGATTATGATTGACGGTTACAATACATTTAGCTGTCCCGACATGATCCCTTTCAAAGCTGAAATAGCTATCCCTATTTTTTACACAGATAACCTCCCAGTCTGAGTCATTCTGAGTGTGCAGGAAGGAGTGGTTAGGAGGGACTAAACTACTAATTAACATTTCCTCTCTTGGTTTCAGGGTTACCTCATTCCCAGTGCCAGGGATGAAGCTCTTGATGGTGACTGTGCGTCCAGGGGCTGGAAAAGGGGCCTCCATCACACTGCGCATAAAAGGGTAAACCAGCGCCGGGGAGATCTCCCTGCGCCTCTCGACCTCCTCCAAAATCTGGACAGACGGAGAGAGACAAATCACCGCCCGCACTGAAAGAACTAGTGTTGATGAAAGGAAGACGGGTGTGACACGGCTACATGCGTTACAATTTCTTTTTTGAAAAACACACCCAGGGATCGCTCTGGATTATAGTCTGGAGTGGCCTCATTCCATTTTAAATCCAGCTCCTTTCATCTCCCTACAAAAGGCTTCTATGAGCAGAAACAAGGGTGCAGATGCATTGTGTAGTGGCCTCACCTTTGCAAAGAGGTTGAAACAGCCCAGTTTGCTGACAATACAGTGCACCTCAGGAAGCCTCTTCCCTTTTCCAATGGGCTTAAAGAAACAGACAGTTTCATATGACATCAAGCAGGGAACCACAGAGATCAATATGCCAAAACACTCATTAAGAATGAACATTTAACCAAACAGAGTACGGCCATGTTCTCATCTAGAGCCTACTTTCTGTTGTATTGTGTCTAATAGTATTTTCAATGACATCTTGGTGGATTGAAAGGAAAACAAAAACAAATCAAGAGTCTAAAGTCCAAACTTTTATGATGGTAGCGTTGAGCTTATCAACCAACAACACTAAACATGAAGCTCTGACTGTAAGGCTTGGCCTAACTGTCTACAGTAAAGATAGAACAACAACAACATAGTTAAAGAGAGCTCAACAAGACAAGCACAGAATACTCACAAGCGTATATGTTGGCATATATACACCACATCATTTCTACATAAAACGCGTGTTTATAAAAGTGTCTTAAAGAGATCTCAAAGCAGCTCTCTTTGTGAGGCAAAAGAAAGGAGCAAAGGATGACATTCTTCTTGCTCTCTGTCATCGATTCAGAAGTGGTTTACGGTCTGTTATTCGCATATACTGATTCAAATCTCCTCAGAGATGTTGAGTAAGCATGTGGCGGGTTTCCATGTCGTGTCTCACACACACACACACACACACACAGACGCTCGAGTCAATGATTCAGACGCTAATGTTCTACACTCACCAAGATCTTACAGCAGTAACAGAACATGCGGCTGCCGTCCTCTCCGGTGAGGACAAAGGAGAAGGTCTCACTGTGAACGGAACAACGTTAAGACACAGGAGAGACAGTCAAATGATGTCATTTAGATTTTTAGTACCGTAAAAAACAAAAAAAATTGTAAAAAAACAGTATGTAATAGTTTGTCTAAAAGCTGTAAAAAGAGATAAATATCTCCAAATGTAAAGGCAGAGCATTCAGAAACAATCTAAATGGACAGGTGAGTGTTATTTATCTGCACTACAACAGATACGCATTTAAAGACAGGGCGGTTGAGTAAGTTGAGATCATAATCCACATTACAACAATCAACCACACCCACAAGTTACAACAAAAAGACTCAAGAGTACTAATTAGATCTGTTGAAATTGTAAAGATGCCCGTGGGGGAATTTATGGGTTACAGCAGAGGATATAAATAAGAAAAGAGGAAATGGCAGTTTGAAACATAACACAACTGACAATTACAGTGCAAGAACTAAAGCTAAACACAGCACAGGAAGGAAAAGTCAGACAACGTTTATCAGAGCACATGAAAGGTGTGTGTAGAATGACAACAAAAGCAAACACAAACAAGAAGGAAGAGATGAAAGATGAAAACGTAGTGTTACCATTGTGCTATTGCCCTTGTGATGCATTTAGGAATGTATCCATGTAGCATGCTATAAACAGTATTACTGTAGTGCATGTGCTGACCTGGGCATGTGTGCGGAGGGCTTCCAGTCCTCCGTGTCGGGGAAGCAGAACTTGGGGATGACCTTCAGCTGGTCCTCTGCCTCTTTGGAGAGCCGGGACGACTTCTCAAACTGAAACGAGGGAATCCAGTTAAAGCAGTGCTCCTCCGAGTGACTTCCTTGAATCGGTTAAAGAGGGGCCCTCGTGAAGTCAGTACTCATTTAATTGCATTGAAAGATAATTTAATAGAACATATATCAATTAGCTACGGTGTATTAAGAATGTCTTATGCAGGGTGTACTTGTTTAGAGAATTTTTACATAAGCACTTGTTCTAAATCATCATCAAATAACAGTATGTTCCCATATAGGTGCCTGAGACAAAACCTCTAAAAATGGCCAAATTTAACATGACAATATTTTAAAATATAATAAAAAATGAAAATGGGAAGAACACAAATAAACAACTTGCTTTCATGAGTGCTCTTGACTTATGTAAAACTGAAAAATTCCCCTTGAAATGATTCCTCATTGCTCTAGATGTGAGTCATGCTCCTTTAATTCTACCAAATAAGATTATATCTTGGACATGACATTGTCCTAATTCTACAGAATACCATTCAATCAAAGCACTATGACTAAACTACAGTTATGTCCTCTGCCTGGGAGAAGGGTAGGGTTATGTTAAAAAACTTGTTTCTAACCAGTTTGGGGAACTGCTGCGTGATTTCAGGGGCGTAGGTGTTTTCCGGGGAGCCTTTTCTCAGCGACACCACCACAAAGATCTGGAATAGCTGCTGCTGCTGCAGCTGGATCAGGTCTCTCTCCAGGGTGCGGTAACCTGGCCGACGTTTCAGTGTAGACTGGATGTAAACTGATCTCCTGGAGCCTGATGGACACCACACAATGAGACTGTAATCTAAATGCTTGTCCTGGGACATATCACATCCAGCACACCAGAGCAATACGAGGCTTTTCAAACATCAATAAACATGAAGTATAATTGTGTAACGCTGATTACACAGTGTCCGCAACAATGGTCATGGATAGCTGGTAGTCTGCGTCTTACAGCAGTGGTATTATTTGAGTTTCTTAAAGTTAAAACAACATTTCCCATGAGCCTCTCTTGCAAAGAGGATGTTGCTTGGCTGGTCTTGGTTTTATTTGACTTCTCTGAGAGGGCTTAACAGAAGCAACAGTTGCCAGGCGTGGCTTTAAGGATGGCAACGCCCACCACTTAAGTCCACACTGATAAATCTGGACGAGTATCGTTATATGGATTATCATATGGTTGATAGATGGATTCGCATAACATCTGGCAGAGACAGATGTTCCCCAGAGGATGAAATATAAAAACTTTGGTGAATCTATTCAAGAGCCCTCATCAGGTCAAAGCTAAAGGTTTACTTCTCTCCAATGCTTTGGTTTATGGCCAAATACCTGAAAAACATGAAATCTAATTACTTATTGCTGATTAGAAAATGTTATCATGCCAACATGCTAAACTAAGATAGTGAAGATGGTAAATATTTCCTAGTAAACACCAGCGTTTAGCTCAAAGCCCTCTTGAATGATAAATGAGGAATTGTTTCTGCACTAGTCTACAATCAGGTGCATTATGGTCCCACTACGGTTGAATGTCACTTGATTGGACAGAGATATGTAACACGGCCTGCATTGACCGAAGCTAATCCACTCTTCAGAGATGCTATGTTTATTTATTTTTTATAGTTACTGTAAAGAAACATTACAGACACAATAACTCTACCGTGATACCTTTGGTGTTGTCCTCGGGGTCACTCTCTGTCCCACTGGTCTCCTCTGTTGTGGATATGAATCAGAGAAGGGGGGGTGGGGGTTAAAGAGAAGCAGAGGGATGGAAAAGACTTGAGAAGCCATAATCAGATGCAGACAGTCTGCCTTTGTTTCATAATCAGCGGCTTTGCCAGCTGCAGCTGGCCTTGTGTGTACCATCAAAAGCTGGGTATTTCCACAAAGAGGCTCAACTTAATCTGACTGAAGTGTTGATGTGAGTGACATTTGAGCATATTTGACAGTCTGTGTGTGTGTGTGTGTGTGTGTTACCTCGCACTGGGACTCCCTGGTTCTTTACCCTCTTCCTCCCTCGCTTGTCATCAAAGATGGTCTCGATCTTGTTGACATACTGAGTAGTAGAACACACACACCCAGGTACTTGTCAGCCCCGTAATTTCACAGCCATTATAGAATCATGATTACAGAGAATCATGACATAACAAGCCACTAAGTACATAATTATATTATAGATGTTCTTCATACTTTTCTTTTTTTTTAACCGTACATTCTTCTGTTAATGTCCTGAAAGAACACAGTTGAGTAGTGGACACAAGCCAACTAAGGCACATTAATACGTAGAGTTGGGCTCTACACACAAACAAACACATACAGGAAGTTACAACTTATCTTTAAGAGGACACACAGCGCACTGCCAGTAGAGGAAGCCAATGTGTGTGTCAGAAAGTCAAATTCCCTGACTAAGATAATGGTACAGTTTTTGAGCAGAAAAATACATAATGAGGTGTTCTTATGCCTATTATCTTAATGTTAACACCGCTGTCAAAGATCTAAAAGAGTTAAAGGACAGCATAACATAACTATAACAAACGTTGAGTTTTATAATCGCTATCTAGGCTATTCATTCTAAACTAATTGTTAATTAAAAGTAACATAATGGAAAACAATCAGATTACCAACGTCACCAAATAACCTCGACTGGCATTTGTCAAACCTGCTGGTACACGAGTGTCACATGGGTTTTAAAGCTATCATCATGTTCTAGTCCTCACCTTTACATATATGTAGAATATGTTAATAACTCTGTTTTGTTATTGTACCTGGTCGTTTAAGTTCCCCCCGTCCACGCTCTTCGCACTGCCATGAGTCCTTTGTAGGAATTAACGTGTTCTGTGCGAATTCTCATGAAGTGCATGTTCCTCCACCACTATCTGCTTTCTCTCAGCATCCCTCTCCTTCCTGCTCAACAAGCCTGCTCAACTTGAATTACCAGCGCATGGATGTACGCCTCCGCAAACAAACCAAGTTGCAATTTACATCCATGTCTTCAGAATTTAATCCTATTAGACATTTGTGTGAAATTGGTATTTAGTCTGTGAATTCTTGAGCTATGGGCAGAAATGTGTTTTGTGAGGTCACAGTGACCCTTGACCACGAAATTCGAATCAGTTTTCGCCAATCTAAAGGCATCAACACAAAACATCTCGGTCAATTATCGTCTCCCAATACGAGCACTGACGCCATAATCCACCGATCGTCTACCTGAGGCGTCCTCTGTGTTGTTTGCGTGCTTGCGCGCCGCGGTGTAGCTGGTTTGGGAATATCTGCAAGTGTTGAGGATTTGGATGGTGTGGATGTTTGAAACCTCTTCCTCTCCACTTTGCTAGCGTAGCCTTGCAGCGTTTGAGGTTTAGGCGGCAGCTGGAAGACAAAAAGATTCGGAGTCATCGATTGGTTGTTGGTAATTACGTAGTATCAAACTACAATACTTCCTTCTTTAGGCTCATTTTATACACCAATTAACAACAAAAAAATGTTTCTGGAGTGTGAAAATGAGGCATAAATGGCTCCCAGTACCTTTGGCCTTCCGATAGGGAGACACATGGGAGATGGCTTGACATCCTCATAGGGGGTATCTCTGGTCACTTCACGTGGGGGAAGACAGAGCGATGGGGAAAAGATAAGACAGGCTGACTGGATGTTTCATCATCTTTTCATTTTACTGCAGTAACACCATGTGTCTAAATCCATCATTGGAGGATGCTGAACTGCACCGGCTGATGCAGACGCAGAAGTCTAAAAAGCAATGTTTTTTCACTACCTGTCCTGATTTATAACAAATCACTATATTGTACAGCTGTGCTGTGTTTTGTTTTGGATTACAACTCTCAAAATGTCACAATATTCCAGAAACTGTACGATCTGTTGGAAACCGGGAGTCGATCTCCAGTGATTTTTCCTGATGAGGTCACCGGTCCCTGTACAGGCTCCGTTATGATCATATAAAAGAGTTCTAAACGGGGCATTCAACCAATGACAGGCACCCTGCAGTCTTTATGACTTCCTGTCTTTGTCTCTTTTTAAAAACTCAGGGAGTTCAACTTACAAACGATGTCCTCGTAAATGTTGTCGTCGGAGTAGGCGTGGCAGAGGCCGTCCTCGCCTCTCAGCGTGCCTCGCTTCGCCGTCAGACGCGCCGCATCCTCGTACTCAAAGGACTTCCTGTGGCGGGGAGAGGGAAAGGGAAGGCAGTGAAGGAGAGGGGTCTCGCTGCTGTCCTAAAGATAGCTGCCATACTATTGTTCGCTCTTTTCGTATTATGCTCAGTCAGCGTCCCGCCACAACATTCCATATGTTGATATCAAACGCAGCAAGACAGAGAGAGAGTGTGACGAACTGTCATGAAAGGAAATGTCTGCTCATCTGGTACAGAAGTTGTTTGAAGAGCAAAACAAGGAAGAAGACTATGGCAGGATTTAAAACAGACATGGCAGTTGGCAGTATGACAGCTGTCATAATAACAATTAGGTCACAGTGCAGCTTTCCTCTCATGAAAACTTCAAAGTGGAGATACAGATCTGTTTAGTCAGAGCAGATTTGCTATCATCTAGGTCTGGTTACAAGCTCAGTGGAGGTTTGATGTGCTTGATTTAAGTAATGCACAGGAGTGCTGGAACAGAGACTTTTCCACAACTCAAGGTTCAGTGTGACGTAGTGCCGAGCGCCATGGAGGAACGTCATAATGCACATGAATGAATGACAGCTAATGGCTTCCTCTGAAGTCGGTGAACAAGGAGCCCTGTGCGGCAGGAAGACTGGAGGTGAGGGAAAAGTTACTGGCAGGAACTTAACAATAAAAATGTGTAGGTTTCTTTTTCATCACTAGGTGCACTGTTGCCAGACTGGGCTACTTTTTATTTAGTTTGATTGAAAGTTGCTTTGGGCATCTTGTGATAATTTGGCCAACTTTTTCTGCCATTTGGGCAGTTTGCCCCAACTAAAAGTGAGGTTGTATTCCAATAAATACACTACTCTCTCCATGAGTATTATGATTGAGACCGACTACAACTAGGCGTCTTATTCAGATTATTATTCAGTCACAGCTCTGTGATAAAGGCTTTCATCTCTTCATGCAAGTGAAGACAAGATCATTTTGTTATTGTAACTGTTGTTTTGGGGTTTGCCAACAGACTAATACAATGTTTTGTTATTTATAAGGTGTTTTCTTGCACTTACATTCAGACACACAACACAAGGTCCATTCCAGGTGAATTTGGAAGCAGTCCTCATAAATTGACCCAGTTTATTAGGTACACAGTCCTGCTATAAATCTCACCTTGTGAAGATTATGATATCAATTCAACTGTATTGTAATTTTGGAGGATGCAGTCTGTGGTGCTATTTAACTGTATAACATGATAATGACAGATTACTTTTGCCCACCCCCTTTATATCAATGAGGGTCGGCTAAATAACACCTCTCAAAAATAATATGAGGCTTTATATGTTTTTGTTCTTTCAATTTCTTATTCAAAAATGTGAATACCTTAGCATTGTATTATCATAATCTGTTAACTCCTGGACAGTGTTTAGATGATAACGACAGACATAACAGTTTACAGAGAGCTCAGTGTGTGCGTGGGTTACAAGTTATGTTTTGCTTTGCCTTTAGTGAATAGAGAGAGAGAGTGTGAGAGGGTGTGAGGGTGTGTGTGTGTGTGTGTGTGTGTGCGTGTAGATGATGACCCTGGACCCGTAGCTGCAGAGGAACTAGGCCACATCCACATAATAGAGAACAATGCTGCTAGATATCATGTGACATCACACCAGGACGCCGGCCAACAGTTTAGACTCGGTTTCCTCCACAGAACCGCCCCAAAAAACACTGCTGATAGACGAACTCTGAAGCAGGATGTTTACTGTGCATTTGTCAATTTCCTTATTCTGTCAGATCAAATAAAGCACTGCAAGAAATCCCATCCATTTAAAGTGCTCTGCATGGACTCACCTGTTCTTTTTATGCCTTGAAAGCCCATTCGTCTTAGCTACAGGACAGGGAGGAGGTGGGAACGTAGGTGGGTGGGCTACCCTACTGCTCCTCACGTCGGAGTGGCTGTTATGAGGGGATCTGCTGTCCCGCCCCACGTTGTTGCTGTTGGCTCCCACATACTGGAATGTCCGCAGAGGCTTGGGAGGAGGCTGAGCTTCAACTGAGGACCCCCTGCCTTTCTCCCAGAGCAGTTGGTCCCCCTCCAGCTTACGCCAGAAACCCCGTGAAGTGTAGAAGTTCCCAGCAGGCATGTTGTCTTCTTGGTCATCAGTCGACAGAGGTAGATGTTTAGAAACTACTTCAACATCCAAGATGCGATACGTTTTTTGGTCGCTGTTGGCGGTGAAGAGCCGTTTACCTGCGGGGTTAGCGGCGACGGTCTCCACTTTGGGAGACGCAAACATTTGCGCTGCAAGTGGTTTAATTCCTGGGGATGTGGTGGGAGATTCAGTGGAACATTTCTGCAGAGGTTCTGACTTCCTACCAACCACACCATATCCAGCCTGTGCTGGGGATGCTCGAAAATCTAAGCCCAAGGTCATAGATTTGGAGAGGTAAGGCCCCCCTCTTGATGCCTCATTGGGACATCCGTTGCCCAGCAGCTCTCCAGACAGAGTTCTGGATACGGTCGGAGGATGTGCTCTCGCCCCGGCATCCTGGCTGCGACCTTCCCACTGGGAGATCTTGTCCCTGATGTTGCTGCCCTGCTCGCAAGAAGGGGGCCTCCCTGACTGGCGGCCCTGCCGAGCCACAGCGTCCCCTTTCTGCAGGCGATCGACTTCACCACCCCCTCGCCTGCCCTGCTCCAGCCTCAGAGCCAGCATGTTGAGAGGGGGCAAGAGAATGCATCGGGGATTTCCTCGAAAAGACAGACAGGTCAAAAGCCAAGTGATCTGTTCCCAATTAAATCCAGAAACGATAAGAAAAAGCAGGAGCGCCACAAGGTGTATGGATGTAACAGATCCTTTACGTCTTTATGCTTCTTATTGTCCTAGCAGAGTGTCACTTCCCCCCTTGTCTCCTCTTGTAAACAACCTAAAAAGAAGACAAGACACACAAAATGACCCATCAATCACTGCACTTAAAAACAAGCCCAGGCAGCACATCGCAGGGTCAAAGGGATACCGAGGCACCACAGGAGGACACAGATACTTTTAAAGCAGCACACATCTGAAGCAGTCTACAGCTTGTAGGAAGGGACAGAGAGGAGGCCAGGAAGGACGGGCTCCTGTCGGGGTCGGTTTCCAAAAATAAGTCCCGGAAGAATAAGGAAAGACAGCAGATTTCTGCTGCTGTGTGTCTGTGTCCTGAACCACCCCAGCACCCTCCTCTAGCCTCATAGGAATTCTTCCTTGTCTGTCACTCTCGCCCTTAACCACATACCTGGCCAAATACGAAAATGTCAATGATCAAGCAAAGCGTTGAATCAAAATGTAGTGTTTTTGCAAACCTTTCTGGGTGAAGAATGCTCATTTTAGGTGATTTTAAAGAGCTTTAGAGGAAAGACAACACATTACCTCCAAGGCATACATGAGGAGCCAGTGACAATTAGGTTAATGATGGAGAACACATTCACCACACCTTTCTTCAATGGTTTAGCTATTTATCAGACGCTCGATAAAAACATACGGGAACCCTGATTAACTGATGCCTTTGTGCAAGGATAAGAATCTGTATGGTACGGAGCTATAATCTATCGTCTTGCTCCCCTCTTACCAAGTGCTATCAAACACTGAGACCTGGTGTGCAGATCTGCAGCGTCAGCCCCCCTGACTGATATTCCCTGAGTCGACATCAATGCGGTCACTGTACACTCTGGTACTGCAGCTCCTGGCAGGCTGGAACCAAACCATTTTGGACACGTTGCACATTAGGACCGAGGCTGGGAGAACGTGGAGAAGGGGAGACACGGTAAAATTCCACTGCACAGCTCACGATCATAATAACTCTATGAGCCGCATTCCTGCAGAGCCGTACAAGAGCGGGTGGGGGGGGGGGGGATACATTTAACTGGAGACAGTCAGTCAGTCATCTTTGCGAGTGACGCCTTTGTTTGGGTTTGACCTAAATCAAACGTATGCGCGTGCACTGGAATGCTGCTCGATCATTGCCAGACCACGCAGTGACAATGCGTCTCCCAAACTGACCTACTTGCGTTACTCGTCTGTGTATGTTGTACAGGAAAGCATGAGTTTGAGCTTCCTGAGCCGCAGGATGAAGGATCAGCCGACTGTCCATAATTACGGTGCGGAGAGGTTTGCACCCAGTCGAAACCACTGATCTGAGCTATGTGTGGGATCATCTCTACTCGAACCCTGGGATGGTAATCGAACATCGTCTCTGGAACACAGTAAACGCAGAAGTAAACCAGCTACTCAGTTACAGTAACATTTTGCAAACATGTCTCAAGTTGTCAGCTTCCCCTTTCTTACGGATGACAGTTGAAAACCAAGCTTTGTTATTGTCGGTGAGGCCCGCCATGAGGCGCCGTGATATCAAGCAACAAAGCCGGAGGGTCAAAGTGAAGTTCACTGGCGGTTATTGGGCCGTCAAATACGCAGAAAGGTATCCTTGTATTATCAAGTGAAACTCACTCAGTCATCGACAAGGAAACCAGACAGGAGCACCATGAAGCTTGAGAACCCAGTCATCACCTGACAGCTAAATCAAACCTAATTGCGCCTGCAAAACGCCCGAAGAAGTGCGACGTGACACAACATGTTGTAGGTGAGGTATTGTGCGGCTGTGGTACACCCTCAGCAGTGACAGTTACAGCTATAATAAAAGAAGAAGAAAAAAAGCGTGGGTTTGTTAAATGCCAGCGTAGAAGGACACACCAAAGATTAAGAGTCTGGAAATGACTGATCCATCAGCAGCCGCCAGAACAGTTTGTGTGCAACTAAACATTCATTTCGAGAGCTCTGGTGAAAGACTGATTGACCACTCGACAGCATGACAAGGTCCTTCATTTGTTGTGGACACCACTGTCAGCAAAATGTCAACAAAGTGAAGATCTTTAGATCTAAGTGAATGCAGATCTATTATTCAGCAGTGTTCCTGGAGTTAATTGGAGCCTTTTCTCTGACGGGATTGGAGGAATACACATCTCAGATGCTTATTCATTAACTGAACTGCTTTTCCTAAGTTTTACAACACCTGCAGAATATTTCCATACAGAGGCTGTAGTGTCTGCTGTGAGGTTCAATGACCACAGCGAACTGTGTGACCTGAAGTAGTTGCTTAGTTTCTGGTAGAACATGTGGATCAGTGCAGGAGGGGAAGACTTGCCCTTATACGAAGAAAAACCAAACTCCCTTCAAAACTATAGGAATTTAGAATATTCTTCCATATTGCAAAGTCTGATTTCATAGAAATGAAACTCAATCGCTCCGCTGACTCTTTAGGATGTATAGTGTAATTCGGCCATAACAAAAATGTCAAATAACCTAAAGTATCTCAGTGGTTTACACGGATAGTCTCCCACCATCAGGTTAAAGTTGTTGAGTTGTCTGTTGGAGGAGGGAGCGATATCATGAACAACATCACTTATTAATACAGATATACGTTCGATACTTCAATTAAGCGGTAATAACTACGACGTCTCACTGTATGGAGAAAAACCACAAGTAACTTAAAAATGTAACGTTAGCTGAGCTAACTACACAGTTATAGGGATAGCATGTAACGCTCATTGGGTTACTGGATGTAGCAGAATACTCTTACGTTAATAACGTAGTCCGAGGAGTTGTGTGAGAAGACATATCGGAACTCACGTTCTTCCCTCATGTTCCTTTCGATAAAATGAAAAGCAAATTAAATCCGACGCTTTTCGCTAGCAGCGCTCAGACCGGAGAGGTTAGCGGTCTGAATAAAGTCCAGGCGTTGGAGTCCACATCCAGTTATTTGTAACTTCTTAGAAAATAAACTTGTTTGCGCCACAGACCGTGTCCGCTGTACTAATAACTACACACAGCAACAAAGAGAGAGTCCATTGAGTCCAGAGAAGTACAGCAGAGCACTCCTCGTCCTCTTTCTCGGGACAGTTAGCGTCAAGTCAGCCAGAAAACATAGGTCTTCCGGTTAAAACTTTCAAAATAACAACCTTGTCGATCGTAAAACATGTTCAAAATGAAATTATACAATTAATTTTTTGTCTTCACGTTTAACAGCTACATTTTTGTGTTCCTTCAATTTTTACATGTCAGTGTTAGTTATGGGTTTAAAGGCAAATGTCTTCATTAAAAACTCCCGAAAAATTGTGTTTTTTCTGCTTTAGTGTCTCAATATGTCATTATTAAGACACTAACAATGGCATAGAAAGACACGTGTGAATTCCTATCTGCTGCTTCACGATCATTACAGGATAAGGCCTTTCATAGTACCTGCTACAGACTATGTACCAATTCAAGGTGAATCCACATCAGTTGTTGGACAAGTATTTTTCTTTTTGTCAGATGCATTATCAGGTAACACTTACTTTGCCCACTTGATCCCTACAAGTACATGTCTATTTTCTGTTTGTTTTTTTCACAGATTCACAATTTATCATGGATCTGTGTAAATGTACAACTTAGGTACACTCATTTTCTAGGAAAGGCATTTGACTTCCGGTTTTACGCTGGGTGTTTCTGTCGCGCTTGACGCGACTGTGACCGCGAGAAAGTTTGGTTGAATCCTCCCGATCCAAGAGGGAAGACGTCATCACATCAACCGCTGCAGCTGTCAACGACGAATAAATGCTGTTGTCTTCAGGTGTCCTGGGAAATATGGACGCTCGGCTATGAGCTGCACCTGCACGACTCAAGTTAATAACTGACTGGGATATATGACTGGGGCTTTATACATATACATATACCGTATAAGTGTCAAAGCCTAGTAAATGTCCATTTTGCAGCAGATGCTATTTATAACCACACTTTCGAAACTCACTTCAAGTATCTATACAGTGGAGCAGACTCAGAGCATATGTTACATGTTTGTTTAGTTGGATCAGACAAACGGTGGACCACAAAAATATGAGCTAAAGGGCATTTTAGCCTTGATCTCCCCTGAGTTTTCTGTTTTCTTTTAAAGAAATCTCAGACTTCATCCAACAAGGTATATTGTGAACTCAATCCAGCTAAGATAAATGGCAGACATCAACTCTGTTAATAACTAATGCATTATGCAACATCTCAAACTAACATCTTTATGGCCGACGCGCATTTTTCCCAGATTCATTCTGCAGAGTCAGCTAAAATGTTAATGCAGCTACACTTTGAAAGGAAACAACAGCCATCAGAAAACTACTTTTGGTGCACAGTGTAGAAAGAAACGCAGAATAAGTGTGCAAGTCATGTCTCATCTGCAGCTCACAGGTCAGAGCTCATGAGGAACGTCTGAAGGAGGCAGTAGCTCTGCCAAGTCACAAAATCAACACGAGACAAGATCCGGCTGACAAGTAAATAATGCTGCAATGTAACACTGATTGAATGATGAAATGCATCACCGGGGCAACTTGTTATTTCACATTTTATTCCCTTTCATTCTCACACATGATGTTTCTCCACATGGAAAACACACACTGTGATGTGCTAAGTCAGTAAGTGTGCGCATTTGATACAGTGAAGAGCAAAAAGGTTTCTTCCCCCAAAAGGAGAGAACATCAGCGTGTTTAGAAGGTCAGTTTCATTAAGATTCAATTGTTTAAGAGTTGCTGTGAAAAAAACGAATGTGGAAACTTTTTCCGAGTGGAAATCGTATTTGAGAGTGTTTTAATCAGACTTCACGCCCTCCTTGATGCGGTTGAGCTCGTAGCACAGGGTCTCGTAGCGGTATGCCATGCGGATCTGGGCCACATTGGTCTTACGGATGTCGTTGCCCTCTGGGCCCTCCTTGAGGTAGTCATCACCCAGGTAGTGGCTCTTCTCCTGTAACACAGAAAAAAAAACACAAGCATGTTTTGGTGCGAGCATAAAATCGCCTATATGTGGAACATGATGCTTAAATCTCTTCGATTTAAAAACAGCTTGTGCGGTGAAAAGATAGAGGATTTGACAGAAACACGTCTTCAAGTACTATTTTGCACCGACAATGTTTGCCAATGTAAAAAGAAAGACGTGTCTTACGTCTTAAAAAAAAAAAAAAAAAACAGTCAACAAAGCATCACCACATTTAATGGATCACCATGCAGTGTGTGTGTTACCTCATGAGACATGGCGCTCTGCAGAACACTGCTCCTGGAGATCTCACACATGTCGCAGGTACTGAGCTTGAAGACCTGGGCTGCGATGGCGTACTCTTCCATCAGGGGTTCCTGTGGACATAAAGGCCAAGATTTACACTTTGATATTTGGATCACATAGACACAGCTATAGTTCATACAACTCCCATGAACTGTGGAAGGCAGCAATCACCAGAGGTAACTGTGTGCATGCAATTCACATTGTTAAACCACTATCTGCGTATTCTATATGGCACAATGCTTACAATGCATGTCCATTTGATTGTTCTACTTCATTTCCGTTTGTGTGTGCAGCACATTACTTTTTGTGTACAATCAGAATGCCAAAACTAAAATGCATTCATCTGTAGACCTAATACAATGCTCATTATACGCAGCACAGCGTGCGTCATTGTCTGCTCCCTCCATGTGCTCGGACCTTAGTGTAGTGGAACTGCATGGGGTCGTCGGTGGACAGAGAGACCACCAGGCCCTTCTTGTGGAACTCCAGCAGCGGGTTCTTGGCGTATTCCAGGAACAGGCTGTTGTTGCTGAGAGGGGACATGGCGATGGGGATCTTGGTCAGGAAGTACAGGTACTGCAGCACAGGACTCTGGGGGATTGATAGATTGATAGTTCAGTCAACTTATGATATTATTTGTCAAGGACTGGCTTTGTTTTGTTTTTTAAGATAAAGCAAGCAGAATGATCAAATGTACATAAATGCAGATATCCCCTTTCAAACTTGCTCTTTTAAGAAAACTTGAAACCAGACAGTTAAAGGTTGTTGCCGTAACAGCAATTAATACAGATAAGGCATGGAGAGCAGTGCAGCGTATCAAAGAAGATCTCAGGATAACGCCCACTTAGATCCAGATTTCAAACATTGAGCACTAAAAGGGTATTTCTTACCTCTGGGACCAGTTTGAGAGTGGGGTCTTTTTGCCCTTTAATCAGACAGGAAAAAACGATATATCTAGAAAGGACATCTTTTGGTACTTACAGATAAAAAAATTATATCAAGATAAAATTATGTTTTTTTTAATTGGAATTAATACCTCCGGTGTATTATTCTGCATGCAGGAAATGGGCCAGAAATTGGAGAGGGAACTGGGGTGTAGAAGTGACAGAAGATGTGTTAGAAGATTATTGGAACGATACAATAAAGTCACCATAAGTCTGATAATGCCCTGTGTAAAAGCCAGAACATGTTGGGAACTGAGCTCAAATTCAATCCAGTGTCCTCCTTCCTATAGCATGCACATCGCCAACGTACATCACAGAAGATATTCTGTGGAAGGAAGAATATATAACATCAATGGATCTCCTGTCAGGTTTTCACAATCTCTGCTGGGTATGATGACGCTAAGAATGGAACATAAACACTGACTTGTCTGATGCTTTTTTTTGATAAATGAGAAAACCCTTTCCAGAATATTTTGTTGTGAATGTATCTGCCATTCTACTAGGGTTAATTGTTTGAAGTAAGTTGCCACTGTATCGCCATAACTGAGGTGTGCCTGTATAGAACGGTGATATCGTATATGCAGAGATGTGTTTTAATTCTCTTCTTTTCATTATTCAATTTCATATTTCATTTTCAATTTGTTATCGGCACATTTAAAATGTACTTCATCTGCTTTCATGTATTTTTTGTGTCTTCCTTTTGTTCAATGAAACATTGACAACAAATTATGTAAACACATTTCGGAAAAATAATTGTGCAGTAGCTCTCCTGTAGGCTATAGTATAGCGCAATACCTAGAACCCTTGTGGTTCCTTTGCAGAGCTGAAGTCTAGAACTGGTGCCCGATCATGTGTGAGTGAGTGTATGAGTGCTGCTGAATTTAAGTGCTGATTCACAGCTGTTAAAGAGAGCACTGACCTTCTTGAGGTTGAGGCCGTGAGAGATGTTGTCAGCAGTCATGAAGGCAGCCAGCAGATGGGTGATGGCACCGGCCTCACCGCAGTGAGGCCTGAACGTGAACGTGTTCATGCCCCTCTGTCTGGAAAGCAGACGATAAACAAGTATTCAACTATGAACAGATGTTCTCAGAGGAACTTGCTTTCCTGTTATCGTCAAGCACTGAGGAGAAGATGAGATATAAAACAATGAGGGGAAAGTCGAAGAGATATGAACACAAAATGGCAGGAATCTCTCATTAAAAAAACTGAAAGCATTAAATAATTATTAGTGTACTGGCTCACACTAAAAAAGACAAAACTGTGTCAACGGAGACCAAGCTACTGACCTGCGGAGCTGGTTGAGCACAGTGATGTTGGCATACATGTAGTAGATGTAGTAGGTGTAGGAGGGGTTTTTGACGATGTCCCACTCCTCTGGTTTGGGGCTCTTGATGGAGAACATGTGACCACTGTGCTTGGACTCATCGTCCACGCTGTCGAAGCCTGTCACCTACACACCATGTGGCAAAAAGGTTGATTACACAGGTAACAGATAGGATTTGTTATCTTGTTGTGTCTGAGCCGTTATGATCATCCCAGTTATGAATGCAATCATGCAATTGGTTGCGTGTGAGTGAGTGCGGAGTGACCTCCGTGTGACCTCCGGAGTGACCTCCGTGTCTGTCCACGGTTAATCTCGGGTTCTGCTGCAGCAAACTGCTTAATATTTTTGGTGTCCAGTTATGGCTGCATGCTCAAGGACCTTTCGTAGTTGAGGTGACTCATACTTTCTCAAAACTCCTTTTATTACCTGTTTTATACTGCCATTGCTCTTAACCGGCCCAAGGCCAGTAGGGGCCACGGGTGATGACACAGCTGAGTGGCTATCCAACCCCCAATCCGCCACTCTGCGCCCACAGAGAGGAGATAACAGTT